GTAGCAAAAGTATCTAACATAAGTCCATCGCCCCATCAATCGTTTCCAAGTGCTGCCGGGAAAACCTGTGTGATTCAGTGGCTGATGAAAAGTTCAAGGGATCTTCAGGAATTGATTTTCAAAAAGAAACCATTATTTAAAGATAATAGCTTCTTTCTTGTTTATCTAAAAATTAATTAAGCGGTTACTACCATCAGAAAACTAATATCTAATAGCAAGTTTGAAATTCAGAAAATTATTTGAAGAAGATGAAAATAGATGATAGATCAGGTAGATGGAAATGAAGGAGACCAAGTTCATTTTAAACAATTTAAGAGTATTCGCTTACTTCTTATGATACTTTTTTTTTATCGTTCCAAGTAATCTCTTCTTTTCCTCTTCCTTCACTCCCTTGTTTTCATTCTTTTAAAAGGAAAATAAATTTTGAAAGTTCGTGTATAAGAAAATTTAAAAAAGACTATACGCTTGCTCAAGTGCTAGTGGTTCAGATAGTTTGACTTTCACTCAGTATCGTGATTCCAATATTCGAAAATGATAAGAGTAAGTCACAGTTGTGTCCGCCATCTACCTTTGATCATTTGTCTAGCTGTTCTATAATTGCATATGCCATGCAATTACGTATGCATTTGTTTGTCGACCTATCTGGAAATTTGAAAATAGATAAGCATGACAGATTCTGTAACTTAGTGCAGGACATATTAATACCCCAGCACTAAATGCCATCATGATGCCAGCAGCCGAACAATTTCGTGCACACTATTTATGAGCTTGTTTCGATTGCTAATGGTTTAACCTTCACCAGCATCGATAACTTCGATATCCGAAAAACTCTTCGTAGTACTGCAGCATTCTCAACTTTTGTCTACCACACTACAGTGAGTGACCTTCTCGGAACAATTTTATGAGAGTAATAGTGTACAAAAACTGAAAAAAAATAAAATTTTACATAAAATACTCCTTTTATTAAACGAGCATTTCATTAATTATGAATTTTCAAGGACTGAGAATTTTACAAAAAAAGTGTGAAATTTAAAGCAAAGGATGTAGCGGAATGATAAGTTGCTCATGGCGAATAAAGTAACTGCTATTTTAATTAATTGTGCAAAAAATTGTGTCCATATTTTAATAGTAACTGCTTATCCTATACCTTTTCTACCCCGCCCCTTACTTCTTCTCAACCTTCGTAACAATTAATTTTCCTCGCCTCTCTTTTTTAATTAAAATAAAAATTTTCCACTCTCCTATTTGATTCATTTTCGTGCAATGCCTATGCAAAACTAAGTGAAGGTAAGAGCGCTTTAGGACAGAGAGAATTTGGGAATAGCAATAATAATTCTTCTCTCTGGCAAGCTTGGCTGGCCAAAGAATGATCAATTTATGAAATGAGCGATAATTAAATTTTCAAGCATTCATATTCCTTCTCCATCCTATTTCTTAACGTTTTAAAATGGTAAAATCAAACATCTGCAAAAGCTTTGTTCTCTTCTCATACGAATCCCCTATCCTGGTTATTTTAATCATTTATCTATCTATCTATCTATCTATCTATCTATCTATCTATCTATCTATCTATCTAATCTATCTATCTAATCTATCTATCTAATCTATCTATTTACCTCTATCTATCTATCTATCTACCTATCTATCTAATCTATCTATCGAATCTATCTAATCCATTTATTTACAGGTATACAAACCAGCTTTAGCCAAATATTAAGTCATTCAAATTACGAGCAGATGACTGGGATTTAATCGGCTGGTCCTATGTGCACATTGCGAACCATCAACAAATCAATCTATTTTCCGCTCTCGTTTGAAAATTTAAAACGAAATTTAGGTGTAAACTTAAGATTTTCTTGTCATATTTAATCTTCGCAATACATGGAAAATTTGCATTCCAAAGAGACAATGCTTCACTTGGCTTTTCGAATCTTACAAATTTCGATAAATTCTATCTGCATACCTCATGTTGACGAAGCAGAGAGATGTGCTGGATAGTGTTACAAGAATATTATGCCATATAAGTAATTGACTAAAGGTTAAGAGATAATAATGAATACTAGCCGGCTAACTAACTGGTGACATCGCTAACCGTTTAATTGCTTCCAAACAGTAAGAGAAATTTTGCACAAGATTAAAAGGAAAGACTTTTCACACCCTCAAACAAATGTATTCAGTTCATTTAATTCATTGGTTTTATTGAAGTATGAATTGGTTGCAGTGCCACTGCTACTGGCTAGTTGTTAATAGTTTAGTAACGGAAAGCGCATTGAAAATGCAGAAATTAATTCACCTAAAATGCAAAATTATTATCCAGTAGTAGAGGACTGAGAACTGGTGCCATTGTCAGTTCCGAACTGGAAGATAGAAGGAAAAGAGGAAGTTAGCAAAGGAGCAAAGAAATATCAACAAGCGGAGACGAAGAGACACTGAAACATACACCACAACGGGAATAGCTCTGCCTTGTACTTATAATTAACAATCCACGTCAATGCAACGACTACCTCTTTGAACGCGATGCACCAACAAGTTTGAAAGGTAGAGTAAACGTAAGTAATGAATGGTACACCCTGTCAGGGCGATATGAACCAATACTTCTTATATCACGTCACTACTGTTGTACACAATGTGTTCCATGCATTGCACACTTCCCTCCAGCATTAACACATGGGACAAAAGAAAGCTCGAATAGTGTCACATATGTTTGTAGCTAGAAAAAGAATTTAAATAAATTTTACTAAAGTCAACATGGAACAATTAAACACTAGCATGAAATTCTACAAATTCCATAAATAACAATCAAACATTAGCATGAAATTCTATAAATTTTATAAATAGAAAAGAACATCATTTTCTTTTATATGAAAACAAGAGCATATTAAGCCATATATGCTTATCATATTGCTTGAAGACCGTTGCAGATTTCAAGGAAAATCTATTACATTCATTCATTATAGAAAGACCATTAGAATACATGCATAACAAGGACTAAATTCCGAATGGTTATTTTCTGTGACTAGCGCCAACAGCTTCAGAAATACTGCAAAAACTATCCCGAGGTAGGTATTCCAGCAGTTTATTCGCATTATAACTGGAAAACCTGAAAAGAAGCAGCCACTAAAATGATAGTGCGGATTCCTTTGGAATTTCGAGAAATGCTTGTAAAAAACAAAGAAACGTTGAACAAAAGGGAAAGATTGATAAGATTCAAAATCATAACTTTTATTAATCGAAATATACACTTGGATCGATATACACTTCAAAAAGTGGACATGTAATATTCCTAGAATCAACTTTCAAAAAATAACCTGATAACTGAAACACAAGTATTGTAGCCTTTACAACATTTTATTGTATTAAAGGAAGAGGATCATGGATTGGAAGGGGTCAGTGAAATGGATAGAGAAGATTGGGAAGGAGGAGTTCAAAAGAGACGGAAGTCTAAAACTAATTTCTTCTTGCTTCTCCAGTTACACCTCATATGTTACGCCCATTATTAAATTAATTTCAAACTGAAGTAACACTTTAGACAAATGTCGTTTACGATATATGTGCCGTAATGTATGAGTTTTCATCACTCAATTTTCATTGGAATTTTCAAGTTTCATCGAGATTTTTAGATCTTTTTCAAGTGCTAAAAGTAATAATTATTAAAACTGTGGTTATAATAATGTTATAAAGCAGAAAGAAACAGGAAATTCCAAAAGTCTGCCGCATACAAAAATCATTGCATCACTCATTCCTAAAAAAGATAATGCCGATTGATTAGAAGCCATTAATGAAGAAACGACCAAATCCCACGACCCTAATGGAAATGTCACTCGTATCGAAATAATTTTGATTTTGTACAAATACCTCATTAGTTAAGTTAGAAAATTGGGAAAAATATTATTACGAAAATATCGAAGCAAATTTTTTCTTGAAATCAAACACTCAATAGCAATGAAATACGCTATTAGCGTCAAAGCCCACTAAATTTAATAAAAAGTGGTTTACTGAAACAGACAAGTGCTCCAAGCTTTTTCATAGTGAAATTGCTGTATTCAAAAACAGTCAAGAACTACACCGCAAAAAATGGCCATACTATGGCAATAAAAAACGTTAGTAATTTGGATCTTTTATACCAAATACATAGCAGAAACATATAAGTACGCTAGTATGTGGAAGGTAATATATTATCAATAAAATTTCTCAGTATCATTCACAATAGGGATTGAACAAGTAATATTGGATGTAAATTTTTCTCAAAAACGAACTAAGGTACAATTAAACTATCCATTTTAATATCCTACCTTCTTAAAGAAGTGATGAATAAAGTTGCAAGGGACTTGTTCCAGCTCGAATTTTCTCACATGCGTCTTAACCGGATGATATACCTTCATATCCAATGATCGGGATTTTACCATGTGATAAACTATAGAATTGAATCAATCAGTCAAAGAACTATTCCGGTAGAACCATGTATATTAAAATAACAATTCTAATAATTTCCAAGAAATCATATAAATTGTAGAAACACTACTGAATTATATAAGTGCACTCACCCAATTCTTATGCTTTGCTTTCAATAAACGTAAATATTCGGAAATAGTTTTAAAAATGATACCTCAATGACACTGACTCTGGTTTTAGAAAACATTTAAAGATACCTATAAACATTATGTGTGCAATTTATACTTATATCTCGAAGTGGCCTGCCACTCAAAAAACCACCTTCCAATAGCACAGTTTGAAGATTTTTCGTATGACTGTAGGTGCAATTCGAAATTATGATGCCAACTACACAATATCGTTTGTTTAGCGCTATCTTCAAAGCATTATTTATTACAGCAGAAAATGTGCAAAATGAAGTCATGGATAAAAATATCCCGTAATTAGGATACTAGCCCCAAGATTTGCTGTTTTTGAGAGAATTCTTCCATTAAATCAAAGATAGATAAACCTTGATGATTTTTTTCAAGTCTACGATCAATAAATCAAATGGAATTTTGATCAGAATTTTAGGTGATTTGTACAGTTTGATTGATAGTAGAAGTAACGCCCTCTAATGCCTAAAACATCATGTAATTATTAATGGTAAAAATTAGGACATACTAAAAAGAAACACAATTTCCGTATTAGTTACTGTCTCTGGAGCAGCCTGACAGCCAAAATCCATAATCAAATAATTACTAAAAGAACCAAAATAATAGGCACTCGCTTTAAGCCCATTAAATCCCTGAAAGCGCTTCAACTTGCTAGTACCATTCAATAAAAGGTGAAAACAATTTACAAAGAAAAAATAGTTAAATATTTAAGGTGTGTGCACCTGTGATTCATCAATTACAATCGAGTTTTTGTTGTTTTGATATTGCATATATTACAACAAAATTGTCTTACATAAATCTAAGGGTTTAAAGGCAGATGTTTCCCTAATTTACAGATCTAATATAACTTCACAAGAACTCGATTCAATCCAAATAGGAGACCGAATCGAGTTCTTGTGAAGTTATGTTAAGTCTCTAAACCAGGGAAATATCTGCCTTTAACCCTTTAGTTTATAAAAGGATAACACTACTGATATATATAATGTCAAAACGGAAGGTAGGCGAAATGCCACTGGTGAATATACCTTAAACACTTAATTATTTTTTCCTTGCAAGTAGTTCTCACCTCTTATTGAATGGAACTAGCAAGATCTATTAACAAGACCAAACACGACTTCTTACAGACACAAAGATGGGTTCATACTCGAAAGTATTAATAATGATATTAAAAATTAGCTGGAGATTTAAAAACCAAAATATGAAAATAAATCTATAATCAAAATTAAACATACGCAAAAAAAAAGATTTATAAGGTCACTATTATCTAGCCCCTTTCTTAAAACATATCGCAATAATCTCAGGAAATTATACAGTTAAAAACTTAATTACGAACTGCATTTCTGCCAATATTTACACAAAGCGGGACATCAGCATTTCGATCATAAGCTCTTTTAACAAACAAATATACAGTACTTAGTCCTGCACTTTTAAATTTACCGCAACTTATACATCCTTAAAGTGTATGTAAAAATAATAAAATTCTGTAAAGGAGATTTTAGAAGATATGAGATTATTCCAAATATAAAGAAAATAAAATATGAAAAAATTATAGTGAGTGAATTATCTCAAGGTCGAAAATGTTTTATTGCAAAAGAACCACTAATTTACTATATTAATAATTGTGACAGAAGTTGAAGCTCCTATTTCTAAGTGACTGTACTGAATATTAAAAAAAAAATCTAGTACCCTTGTAACCAACCGAAATATGAAATGAAATTTGGAGCTCAAAACACATCATTCTACATCAAATGCCTATCAACGCTCAAAATTATTGTTGAAGAATAAATTTTAGATATCCACATTCCACATTTTCACTCCTAAAAAATTTTTGCTTTGCGAGATTTCACCGGTTAAAACGAAGTTGAAACAACTCACTTTATCTGTGGATAAAAGTTTAACCACATTGTCAGGAACATCTTTCTGTGACGATGATGTTACTGTGCCTACTTCAATAAAACCAAAACCACTTTTCCGCAAGCCTTTTATTGCTTCAGTGTCTAGAAAAAAGAAACTAAATCAGCGAAATCATAACTTGAAACAAGAGAATTAATGGATTTGAACAAGGTAGGGATATTTCGAGAAATTGATTGCGCCATTTAAACGATGCTAGATTTTCCAGCTATACCACTGGCAGAATAGGTGAATTTATAATATTTCCTAGATTTCATTATCAAAACATATGAAAGATCAAAAATTCAAAAACTCTTACTCCTCTCAAAGTCGGCAGCTAATCCAAGCGGATTCTCGAAGTGTATATTCATTACATTACAATTAAGCTCTGGATACTCTCGATAGTTGTGATTGAATTGCGGAGATGATACTTCGCCAAATAAATACTGTCAAGTCTGGTCTTAGTATGTAGTTCAACAATGGCATAAACTGAAAATTTGAATTCTAACCATGAAATTTCGATGTTTTAACGCTGTTCTCGGGCAAAGAACAGAAACAGCAGGAACACCCCATACTTTTTAGAAATTTTTTGTCGAAACTTAGATTTAATTAAATGAAAGAATCTAATAACATTGGAAGTCGTTAATCCTCAGTTCTATGCAAAAAAATAATTCATAGTTTAAAAAAAAATAAATTACTAAAAAGGAAATTT